GCAAAGGGCTCAAGGAGGTACAATGCCAGAGACCAGCAGCTGTGGCTTGCTACATTGTAACACAGTAGGCTTCTGACTCCCTTCTGTTGATATTATGATGCGGACATCATCTGCCAATCCTTCAAAACTCAGCCACGGAAAACTATCATCCAGGCTGTGGCTTCTCAGGCACTGTAGTGTCTCCTTTAATCTATACCACTGTGCACCATACTCCAGTTAAACAGAATTATTTACTCGACCTGCTTATAGAGCCTCTGAATACCATGCTCACTCTCCCGAGAGCTCATCATACCTACCCTTCACTCTTGACAGTTCTTGATGAAGATACAGCAGAGTATCGAGAATTTCTCTCGAATCCCAAACAATTCAATTTAAACCCAAAGCTACAGGTTCTTCACTAACAAAAGCTTTGCAGAGAATCCTGGGTCACACTTCTTAGGGAAGCCATCTTTCAACTACACATTCTTCATAAATCAATCTTTAAACTACACACTCTTCAGAGTATGGGCTGATTAAGTGAAGTTTAGTAACTTTTATAAGTCACCATTATCTTGTCTTCTTTAATGGATATTATACTGGTTTTCATTAAAACTAGTTTATTTGAAAACTTATATTTACCATCTTCTTATAATTGTGTTGATTTAGTCCAAATAATGACCTGGAAATTATCATGATATACTTTACCCAACTAATATTTTGAAGTGAAATGCTACCTTAAAGATTCTCTCCTGAATAACAAATTTAATAAAAACAGAAAAGCAAATATTGAAAAAGCAAGGCTAAGTGATGTAACAGCTTCATAAAAAAAATGAATGCCTTACAGACACCCGTAGTTAAACACTGAACTCCTGGAACCCAGTTGCAGAGAGGGAGGAGTGATGAGCAAAGGGTTCAAGACCAGACTGGTGAAACCCACAGATACAGCTGACCTGAACAAGGGGGAGCTCATGGACTCCAGACTGATGGCTGAGAGGCCAGCATGGGACTGATCCAGATCCCCTGAATGAGGGTGTCAGTGAGGAGGCCTGGGCAATCTTTGGGGCCTCGGGTACTAGATCAGTATTTATCCCTGGCATCTGAATGGACTTTGGAAGCCTATTCTACATGGAGGGATGCTCTCTCAGCCTGGACACATTGGGGAGGGCCTAGGCCCTGGCCCGGATGATATGACAGACTTTGGAGATCCCTCATGGAGGGGGGATGGGGTGGGAGGTTAGAGGGGTTGTTGGGGGTGGAGGAGGAGGTGAGAGAGAGAGAGAGCTGGGATTGACATGTGAAGCAAGCTTGTTTCTAAGTTTAAAAAAATGAATGCCTTGCTATAATATCTTCCGTTCTGTAATTTACTGCATTTTACAAATATGCTTACCTGTGTTAAAATTATGCAACTATGTGAATATGGGCTAGAAAGGAAAATGAAAAACAGAGGAGGACAGTTCTCATCTAAGATTTTTACTTTTCACAATTATCACCATCTTCTGTAAAACGCACGCAAAGTGCCACCGCTGTGAAGCTGTGGCAAAGTTGTCCAGAAGCAAACCAGGAGCCCCAAGAAAAGCCACTAACTTGTCTCCCTTCCCACCTCAGCAATGGCAGTGTGTGTCACTCTTCCCACTCATTCTCACCTTGGGCAGCCTTCCACACCCTTCCACATAACTACATCTAGGGGCATGTATTACATTCTGTTTCACCACTTCAAGTCTTATTCTTATATTGTTCTTTAAGCCCTCAACTACCTATCCAACCTGAATTAAATACACGCAAATAGCTGGAGCTTACTTCTTCAGTTTGAGAATGCTTAGGAAGGGTGTCAGGGGCATCTCTGTCTTTGTTTAGTGGTTGGTTGACAGGTTTTTTGGGGAAATTTTCACAATGTGGTATAGCTAACCAGGAAGTTCTGATTCCCCTGTTTCAGCCAAGAGCTAGGGTTTAAGCATACCTGGGTTGCTCTTATGTTTTATGAAACTAAGACAAGACAGAAAATTCAAAGTCAACCTAATATTGACAATTATAAAGTTTTCTTTGCTGAGAGAAGTTCTTCATTTGTGACAATTTGCAAATACTATACTTCCTTAGCACCACACAAGGCAATGAAAGAATTGCTTACCAGAGTACAAACTTGTTCAAGCATTAACTACTAATATTAGTGTCTAACTGAAATGATTTCTTCAGAGAATCAACCTGATTTGTTTCATAGGTTATTAAATTGCAAACCAAAATCAATACTCTTGCCAACATATCGCATGAATGGCTGCAAACAAATCAGTCTTAATGGATTTTAAAAATTAATTTCCTGATATTCTATCATGTTCAAGTCCATTCCAGCCCACGAGGTATACAAATCTTCTGTAATATAAAGGAGGAAGCTGGGCTACTGAGATGAGGTGACCCAAATTCCCACTATAATGTAAACTGGAGATAGACATTCAATCACAGTAGGCTATCACCTTCCTATTATGTAAATTTATTGTGGCAGCAAATATGCAATCAGGCTAATCTCTACTACTTTCAGTTTTGTTTAAAAGATGTGTATTTTTAAGAAGGTTTTGAAAATGAACTTAATGTAAACATTTGAAACTTAATATAAAGATTTGAAGTTGAACTTACCACGAATTTTAGAATTCACATATATAAGCTACATCTAAAATGCCTACATTATAAATATAAGCTAATAAACCGAAACTATTTATAAATTTAAAGAATACTAGTTATGATACATCATTGTGAATGATCAAGTTTTCAAAATCTTCGTGAATTTTATTTTAAGCCAAACAGAAAGAAAAGTCATTCTCAGCCCCAAGTCTGTTGAGAAACTACGCACGGTACTAATTGGAACAAAGGTGATAGATAATATCATTTCAAAACACTGTCAGAAATATAAAAGGCACTTATGCACTTGAATAGACATAGAATACATTTCCACCTAGCTAGGCTGAGATGGGGAGAAAGAGCTATGCAGCAAAAACCATTTTTCAGTTTATTTTTTATTATAACTACATGCAAACAACCAACATTTTGAAAAAGTTAAAAGACAGCTGATAGCATTTTTTATTTCTTTCCAATCTTTTTCTCAAGGCTTCTTAGAGAGCATAAATTCCACCTTGGAACACGTAGGCACTCTGATATTAAAAAGCCTATAAGTGCCTTGGGGCTTCACCTCGTGTGAGGGAATGTCAGATGTCCTGGAAGCAATGTGCTATACTAGTTAAGACTGGCTTCAAAGAAATTTCACTGCAAGCACCATTAGGGCCCTATGGGTGAGAGATTTTCAAAAATTAGGGAATTCACCACTCATATGATTCCTGAATGTTCAGATGATCATCAAACTGGCCCTTATTTTACTAATTTAGTAACTCACGATTAATAATTAATGAAAACATTATGCTTTCCCTTTGTATAACTGCATGTTATCCTTTCATTTTCTTAATCTATGAAAGGAATGTCTAGTCTCATATGAACAAGACAGAAAAGATATACAAAGGGGTTATAAATAACAAAACAAAATTTACCCAGTTTTGAAGAAATAAAAGTCATGTCTTTTAACATCCCTAATATCATTTGTTTGCGTTGATCTCTAATGGTATTTACGTAAGAAAGATGGGAGACAAATATATTGTTAAAATGTTGACTAAAATTATTCAAAGCCATTAAAAATAAGATAATGTTATTGCATTTACATTAGTCTGGCCATGACATATTCCAAAAGACAATGGTCTCCTATATAGCTGACTGTACTATTGGAAGACTTGTTTTAAACATGATGTAAATACTTCATCTAAAAGTGTGCAAAACACAGGAGTGTGCTGCTTATTTAGTCACATTCCTTTCTACAGTAACATATGCTCTGTTCACTGTGCTTGGTTTCCTTTTGTTGGAAATGGGATAACTATCTCACCTAGTCATGGGTTAAATGCGCTGATTTACAAGAACTACTTAGTCCTGGGCTTCGCACATACTAAGCTTCTGTAAGCCACAGAGGTCTGTTTCCCCACCCTTAAGAAGAAAACTCATGCACAGATGCGAAGACTTCAGGGGTTTCCAGACTTCAATATAGTAAGTGCTGACTGAAACCTGCCTGGCACTCATCTAAATAGTTTAAATGTAACTATGAAAGAGTACAGTTAACCAAGCACACATTTCCTTTTGAGATTATGCTCTCATGTGGCCGTCATAGTCACAGTTTCTCCTCAAACAATCCCATGACCTTGGAGATGCACTTTACTGACAAAAATGTGCACTCAGCGGGAAGCCAGACTTATAGATGAAAATGTATTTAAAAAAAAAACTCTTCCTAGCAGTAAGTAACAACACAATCCTTATCTTTCCTCATTGCAATGAGAAAAGCAACGGAAAATGTGTTCAACAACTAATGCCAAACAAAATGTGGTATGCTGTCTGAAAAAGCAACACTAAAAAGTTCAGAACTCTATTCTCTTTCCATTGTGATGATTTATCAACCAACTGTTTTGCCCTCTTCTGGAAAAGGTTTCCCGAGGATCGTAGATGGGGGAAAAAGTTTTGTTACTTTCTGGAAAACTTTGCCCTTTTGGTAGTGGACCACTACCCTGTGTTTGAGAAGTCAATCTACAACCCACAGTCCTCAATTAACGAGCAGGTGCTCTAAAGAACGAATTACAAATGCAAGGCTCTAAAGATACTGCAATCGGCTTCATTCGCTTGAGAACCTGGGCGCGCTCCCTAAGAACAGTAATCACTACCTGTCTTCAACAAGCTCAAGATGCTTTTTAATTTGCTTCCTACTCCGTCCATCAGTCCAGGAGACAGCAAAGAGGCCTCGCTGGCACGGTTTCAAGTCTCTCTTTTGAGAGAAATGAATGGCTTCGAGGAAAAGTAACCCGGCGCAAACTTGAGACACCGGGCGGCAGATCCCCCCCCCCCCTTTGCACATCGAGTGTGGTGTTGCTGCATCTCCGTATGAGTCCGCAGGTTCCTGCAACAGCCAGGAGCCTCGGGAGGTCAGCTCCGTGCTGGCCACCACTCACCTTGCTGGGCTCCAGCGTCCTGGAGCAGCAGGAGCAGCAGCAGGAGAAGCCGAGGCCTGGAGGAGGAGTTGTGGCCAGGAGGGAGGGGACAGCAGCCAGCGCTGGGCAGCGCGGCCCGGCCGGTGGCGGCGGGCGCGGCCTGGCCTCGGGGACCCTGCGGACTGTACGCGGCTCTCAGCGGAGCCCGGTTCGCCATCGCGGCGGCCGGCAATCCGCCCGCATAGTGCGCGCGCCGCGGAGCCCCGCGCGCCCGGGGCCCGCAGCACCCGGCAAGGACCCGGTGGCAGCGCAGCGCGCCTCGACCCCCTCCGCCCTGCTTCCCGCTGCCGGCTGCCCGCGTCGATTCGCCGCGCTTCCCGTCCCAAGACCCCCCCAGCCGGAGCGCGGCGGACCGGAGGCTAGGACCGCGGCCGAGCTGGGACGTGCTCCCGCCGCACTCGTAGCTGGACCGGCTCGCGGGCAGGCCCGCCCCACTCGCTCGCCCTCCCCCTCCCGCGTGCCGGCCACGCCTCCTCGGCCCGCCGAGACCAATGAGCGGCCGGCTCTGGTCCGGCTCCTTCCGTACCGCCCAATCAGCACGCTCCCTGATCGGTCGACCTGTTAGCTCCTCGCCTGGAGCGCCACCGCCCCTCATCCGCGTTCACCAATCGCCTTAGACCTCTGAGAGCGTCCCACCCGCCTCCCTCGATCCGGGTCCGCCCCCAAGCCACGGTCGGGAGCGGTCTCCGCCCCGCTGGAGAGCTCGCAGTTTTTGGGACCACTGCCCAAAGTGAACCCGCCGAGACTCTCTGGTCACTGACTTCCGGGACTTCCCCATCCCGCGCTCTCCCGCTTCCCAGAGCCAACTTGCTCATGGCTCCTCCCCCGTCGCACATCAGGCCACTGGAAGGGGTGGGATGCTGGATGCTGGATGCTGGAAGAGTTCAGCTAGGAGCCGGCGTCTTTAAGGGACTGTTTTAAACAGCTGAGAGTGTTTTTCTTAATTAAAACTGCAGTCAGTGTAGCAACATCACCGCGTACAATTATAGATATGTTCAGTTTTTAAAAGAAAAAATATTTTCTACGACCTTTACTGTGGAGGTCTTTGAGGGAGGGCGCTAAAAATAAGACCCATGCTGCCAACCCAGTTTAAGTCTAGTATCTAAACGTTGATACAGTTATACTACCAAGTTGTCCAGTGCCTGCTATGTGTCTGTAAAAACTATACTCAAAGAAGTCTCCGGAGTTACAGCCACCTTACAGAAACTTTGCAGATTCTGAAATGGGGAGGAAATGTCAACACATCTTTCAAGTCAGAATGAAACAAGTACAAATTAGAATAATAGGCAATCAGATGGAGGCTGTGAGCAAGTGTGTGCTTCGATTCTCTGTCCCGACTGCCTTTAACAAGTACTAGTTTCTGGGCAGCTGGGAATTCTCGAGCTAAACAACTGATGCTCTAAGCATACTGATACTGACATAGGATGTCTGCTACCTTGCGTGTATTAAATGCACTCTTGACTTACAGTATTTTCAAGTATGGTGCCAATCCTGATGACCCGAGTTCAGTCCCCAGAACACACATGGGAGTAGGAGAGAATTCACTGCTGCAAGTTGTCCACGGTCCTCCAGATGCGCATTGTGGAACACTCCCTCTGACCCCTCCAATAAATGAATAAATACATAGGTTTTCTTTTTTATTTTTAGAAGAAAAGAGTGATATGCATACGCAACCAATAAGTGAGGTTTGTAACAAGCAGGTTGTGTAAATGTCAAGCTTGGGAATTTGGAAATTGAGTCTGGAATTCAGAATTACATGTGATAGTCATAAGCATGTAAAAGACTGGCATCGTGCAAAGAAGACCTGAGAGTTGGAAAGGACTCTAGAGGCCACCGTTTTCAAGTTTTTGCAGTCTTCTCACACATTCATTGGCTATCAAAGAAAGCCTTGCTGTGATAGGCTCTGCTTTGATAGGCTTGGTGTGGGCACTGGCCAGGCAAAGCTGGGTGAGAGAAGCTTACATTCTGGTGGAGAAAGCAAACATTTAAACAAATCCATTGTCACCAGTGCCAACCAGTGGAGGTGTGGACTGACAGACCCAACATCATGACCCACCCTGGCAAACAGCCAGTCCAAAGCCAGTTATACAGTCCCGGAAACAATGCCCCTCACTTGTTGGACAACCCCTTCCATATGGCCAGTTAGTGATAACTGGGGGCCACAGAGTGGACACAGCAAAGAATCTGAAGCTTCTGGCTAGTAGTGTCATGTCAGCTACATGAACTCCACCAGAAGCAGAGTGAACTGCACAAGTATGGAACCTATATAGAAAAGACAAAGCTGAGCTTCTGGCTACCTTGCCTCTGGAGGATACAGCCCGAGATCTGTATTTCTTGTTAATAAACACCTCTAAAGCAAGAGAGAGGAGGGCTCACATTTTCTCTGTGTTTAGCATTTTTTCAAAAAGAGTTTTCTTAAGTAGAGAATAAAGTGGTGAAAGGTTCCAGAGAACAAGACAGGGAACGAAAATAACACTATCTGTCTTTTTTTTTTTGTTGTTTGTTTTGTTTTGTTTCTGTATTCTTCTATGCTTTCGCTTCCTGAGTTTTGTTTTGGAAGTTTGGCAGGAGAACAGCTGTAGAATATCTTTGCTGCCTGAACATGGGAAATTATTGGTGAAACACTGGTATGAGAGAATTGGAAAGTGCCACCCACTTTGTCTCTCCATTTATTTTTACTGTTATACAACCAGCTTCAGGAGGCTACTGTGAGATAATGAAATTTTTCTTAGGAACCTCCCATAAAGTCAAATGTCAGGCATCCATTTCTCAAGCAATAACTGCCAGAGGGGAGTCCTGGTTTATATTCCCTCTCCCATCCTCCACATACTTTAGTAAAACTTGTTGTTTCCTTTGTCTCCGAGACTCAGTTGCCTTGTAGATTGACACCTGCTGAGGCAATGGTAGTAGGATGCTTTGCTGAGGAGACTCCATAGAGAGGGCCAGAACTGAATTGGTGATTCTGAAAACCAAGAACCAAAGTGTAGAAGGCCGCTATCCTACGAGTCATAGCTAGAAGCTAAGGTGTGTCCCCTAGACATCCATAGTCCCTCAGTTTTTCCTACAGAATCTCAGGAAGGTGAGAGCATTAGAGACTCCCTTGGGTGTAAAACAACAGCACGAGCCCAAACTGAGTAGAAACTTCATTACACGTGAGTTCCTGGACATGAGCCAGAAGCTGCGGCCATCACAGTGGTCTCTTGTGGCTGGTAAATGAAACAATGCTTTGAATATAGGCTCTGGGGAAGATTAGGACTTGAGGAAAACACCACAAAGCATAGTTGGATAGGAAGGACTAGGAACTGAAGTCCGTTTAATGTGGCTTTACTCCTTGGTAAGACATTTAAAAACAGAAACAGGTTGCCAATGTGAATTTTAATTCACAAGATCTTCTTTCTCCCTAGTGTCTTTTTCTTCCTGTTTTTTTTTTCATTCTTGCTTTTCTTTCATCTTCTTCTAGTCAATACAAAGAAACAAGAATTGACATACAGAGGAAAAGAAATATGGAGAGTCACACCCCACAATTTCATCTTGTAAATGAGCTCAGGAAATGAGAAGGGAGGGAATACCCCTGGGGCTGGCGGCCTGTGCTCCTGTCACTGCAGACATCTGGGGTTTAATGACATGATATGGTAAGAACCATTTGGCACCATCATTGCTGTTAAAGGTCTTTCAAGCATTAATAAAACATAAGAGACTTGCTTAAAATGGCATTTATGCTGGAACCCTTACGGTGAGAGTATGTAATGAATCACTGGTGAGCTTTATCAGTTTTTGGCTGGATAACTGAAGGTGGCGGGGGGGGGGGGGAGGTTGGGGGGTGGGAGAATTTGCTTTTGTGATCTTCCCCTGAGGTCAGAGAGAAAGAAGCCAATTGCAGTTTGAGGGAAATATTTCAAACTTCAAAGACTGGAGGCCTAAGATCTGGTTGCCGTTCTCACAGGAGCGTTTTCTTTGTCCTGCAGACTGTCGGGACAAATGTTTATAGCTATGTTTGTTGCTGAGTTTCTGAATTCTGCTAATGATCCCTTCTGTGAACAGAAGTGTTTTGGATGCATCCTTCCCTTTTCATGGTTGGGTTTTTTTTTTAAACTTGTCTTTTCAGACAAGGTTTTCAGGTTTATTCCTCAGATTTTCTTAACATTTATCAGCTATTGCAAAAGATACTTGTTATTGCAAATTGAAGGTAAGAGTGTTCCTTATATTTATTTATGTATTTATGATACAAGGTGTTTCGTTCCTCCAAGTAGGTTATGAGTTATAGCTTTTTTCTTGTAAGATGAACATCAACAATGTCAGAGACCACTTTGGTTCGTTTCTACTATGTTTCCGCTTACTGCAACTATCTCTCTCCCCTCTCCATCATATTCATTTTTTATTATTTATTTCTAAATTTAAATTAGAAACAAGGTTGCTTCACAAGTCAGTTCCAGGTCCCTCTCCGTTTCCCTCCCCTCCTCCTGTGACCTCCCCCCAAGCCCCCCAATATCCCCTCATTTCCCCAGGGAGGGTGAGAGCCTCCATGGGGGTGTCCATAGTCTGTCATTTCATCCAGGGCAGGGCCTAGACCCTCCCCCAAGAGTTCAGGGTGAGAGTGTGTCTCACATTGTTGGATGAGCATCCAAAGTCCATTTGTATACCCGGGATAAATACTCATCTACTGCCCAAGGCTCAATAGATTACCTAGGCCTCCTCACTGACACCCACATTCAGGGGGTATTGATCAGTCCCATGCTGGATTCCCAGGCATCAGCCTGGGATTCAAGAGTTAACCCTTGTCAGGTTAGCTGTTCCTGGGTGTTAAACCAGCCCAGTCTTAATCCCTTTGGTCATCAGTCCTCCCTCTCTGTTACTGGCTTTCTTGAGTTCAGCTCAGTGCTTAGCTGTGGGAGTCTGCCTCTTCTTCCATCAGCCACTGAATGAAGGTTCTGTTTCCCGGACTCTCTGGCCATGGGATTGTAGGCTGGCACTCCCCAGATCTATGTCTAAAATCCATATATGAGAGAGGACATGCCATGTTTCCCTTTTTGTGACTGAGTTACCTCTCTCAGGATGATTTCTTCTAGTGTCATCCATTTGCCTGCAAATTTCAGGATTCCATTGGTTTTTTTTCTGCTGAATAGTACTCCATAGTGTAAATGTACCACATTTTCTCTATCCACTCTTCGGTTGAGGAGCATCTAGGTTGCTTCCAAGTTCTGGCTATTACAAAAAATGCTGCTATGAACATAGTGGAACAGACATCCTTGTTATAAGAATGGGCATCTTTAGGATATATGCCTAAGAGTGGAGTTACTGGGTCTTGTGGTAGGTTTATTCCCATTTTTCTGAGGAATCTCCATACTGATTTCCAAAGTGGCTGAACCAGTTGGCACTCCCACCAGCAATGGAGGAGTGTTCCCCTTTCACCACATCCTCTCCAG